AATCAAATGGAGAATAGGTCTGAAGCATCTTTGAATAGACAAAGCTAGTGAGGTCTCATAAAGACCTTAATCTTGCTCAATATGCAAACTTAAGAGAAACTTAAGACCATCCGATCAGAAATTGCCAACTAACTTATATAATACTGGACTTTCCAGCAGTATAGACCTAATAAGGCAGTAACCAAAACTAACCAAATATTTTCTCTGCTTTACTTCTGCGTTTTTCCTGTAACAGCCATCCTCTTCAGCAGAGCACCCAAACCCTGTCCAATTTGGAGCTGCCCAATTCATCAACTGCTGTTTCTACAAAAAAAAACCTCTAAATTTTTATGGTGCCTCAGATAATTCAACTCATAGAGGACCCAATCTTGTGGTTATTCCACAGATTCCATAACCGGAACAGGAATATTCTTGCAATTGGCAGAATCCCTTATTGGCTCTCTGATCAATGGGGTCACTTTTATGACAGAAAAAACTACATGGAGAGTCCTAGAACTCCCCACCCACACACAGAACAAGCCTGAAATAATACAACATTCTTGGACAACTACAAAAATGAATAACAACATTGAAAACTTGAAATGATCAAGTATCACAACACAGCCCATTCCAACTTAATTTAGCATGTCAGCCAGTGCCAAAGTCACCTGGATCTTGGAGAATGACTGTCATTGATCATCATCTTAGGTAGTCACTCCAACTGTAGCTGTTTTTCAAAATGCTCTTGACTAGAGCAAATCAAGACAATCTCTATCAGTGGGTAGAGAAGATATTGACATAGCTAATGCTTTTTCTCCCAAATCAATTTTTAAAAAACCAAGAACCAACAGTATACCTTCACAGCATTGCCCCCAGGCTATCAATTGCCAGGTCTCTGCCATAACATAGTCCCCATAGGAACTGACATTGCACAAAGCACCACACTGGTACATTATGTTGACATTATACTAATTATGGGGTGGCACCTGTGGCTCAAAGGGGTAGGGCGCTGGTCCCATATGCCGGAGGTGGTGGGTTCAAAGCCAGCCTCGGCCAAAAAAATTGCAAAAGAAAAAGTTAGACATTATACTAATTATATCCAATCAATGAGGAGAAAATATTTTTCTGCTTTTTACTTCTGTAAGAAACACGGGACTCCCAGTTCCAAAATTGTGGTATAGAATAGTCTGTAAACTGGTTTCACTAACTTTTTTTTTGGAGATTAGCATCTTACTCTGTCACTCACACGAGTGCAATGGCATCAGCCTATCTCACAGAAATCTCAAATTGCTAGATTCAAACGATCCTCCAGCCTCAGCCTCCCAAGTAGATGGGATTACAGGTGCTCACCATGCCCTGATAATTTTTCTAATTTTAGCAGAGATGGGGTCTCACTCTTGCTTAGACTGGTCTCAAACTCCTGAGTTCAAGTTCAAGCAATCCTCCCACCTCGGCCTCCTAGAGCAAAGACTTTTTGTGTAGTACCTCAAAAGCACAGGCAACCAAAGCAAACATCAATCTGAAAAGCTTCTCTGCACAGTAAAGGACGTGCAGAGGATAAACAAAGGATAGTGACAAGCCACAGAATGGCAGAAAATATCTGCAAACTATTCATCTCATAAGGGATTAACACAATGAGCTAAAACAACTCAATGACCAAAAAAAAAAA